TCTGCTAGCGGCCGGCGGGCTTCGCCGCCGCTCGGTGCCCGCTTTATTAGCGCCGGCTCCCAGGGCTGGGGGGTCTCAGCTGGCACTGGATGGCAGCGCGCGCGCCCCAGTGGGCCCTCAGCACCCGCAGCCGTCTGGCCCTGGTGCGGCGTGGCCGAGCGGGGCGAGCTGCGGGCGCCAGCAGCGGGGAGGGGGCTCTGCCTTGGCACGGCACCATGGGCCATTAGGGACCTGCGCATGGCTGGCACAGACGGTGGGTGCTCGCGGGGCGGGTGGCATGAGCAGCGTCGCAGGCATCCCCGGGGGCACTGCTGTGCTCTGGTGCCGGTGCCGTGCAGCCCTTGGGGCTCAGGGCTGGCAGTGTGACTGGCTCAGGCTGTCGGTGCGTCGCTGCCGGGGGCTGCAGGGGAGTGTAGGGGGTCCAGGGCCCCAGGTGAGGTGGCACAGGGCCGTCCTGCTGCGCTGGGGCTGCCACCAGCCATGGACCCATTCCTCCACAGGCAGGCCACTGCTGTCGCAGCACAGTGCTGCGGGGTGGGTGGCACTCGGGACTAGGGCTGTGCTGGGGCCCCAGGAGCTGGGTGCTGTGGTGCTGCTCCAGCAGGGTCCCATGGACCCAGTAAGCTGGGTGTTGGGATGCTGGTCCCATGGACTTGGGGAGCTGGGTTCCAGGCTGCTGAGCACTGAGGTGTTGCTCTGGTGGGGTCCCATGGACCTGGGGAGCTGGATGCCAGGCTGCTGAGTGCTGGGGTGTTGCTCCGGTGGGGTCCCATGGACCCAGGGAGTTGGGTGCTGCGGTGCTGTTCCTATGGACTTGATGAGTTGGGTGCCAGGGTGCTGGTTCCATGGACCTGGGGAGCAGCGTGCTGGTCCCATGGACCTGGGGGGGCTGGGTGCCGGGATGCTGCTCTGATGGGGGTCCCAGGGGCTCCTGGGTGTGGGGGGCAGTCAGCTGGCCACACTGCCACCCCCATGCCCCACGAGCTAGTAGGGGAGCCGGGGGGGGTAGGGGGCTGCTGGCAACGGAGCCCTTACTGCCCGCCCTGCCTCCCCCCAGGCACTAAGTCCTTCAACATGATGTCCCCCACTGGCGACAACTCGGAGCTGCTGGCCGAGATCAAGGCTGGGAAGAGCCTCAAGCCGACGCCACAGAGCAAAGGCTTCACCACCGTCTTCTCCGGCAGTGGCCAAGCAGGGGCCAACGTAGGTGACGGTGGGGGGGCAGGGGAGCTGGTGGCATGGTGCGGCGCAGCATGGCAGGCACCCACCACCCTCCCTCCCTCCCTCCTTCCTCCGCAGGCAGAGTCACCGGTGTCCTCCCCATCACCCACCAGGACGCCCACCCCGCCAGCCACCCCTGAGGCTGCCGGGCCACCACGCTGCCTGGCAGGGGGCTCGCCAGAGCTGGTGCTGAACGGGAGCTCGCCGGTGCCGGCAGTGGGTGCTGGAGCGGCGGTGGAGGCAGAAGCACTGGTGCCGAGCCACGACGAGCAGGGCCGGCCCATCCCCGAGTGGAAGCGGCAGGTGATGGTGCGCAAGCTGCAGCTCCGCATGCAGGAGGAAGAGGAGCAGCGGCGCAAGGTAGGGGGGTCCCGTGTGCTGTGGTGGCGAGCACGGCATGGGCACAGCCCAGCGGCTCAGGACCTGGCGAGATGGAGTGCGTGGCATCACCTCGTGCTCCCAGCCGCGCCAGGGGACCACCCCACCTGCATGCAGGGGCGTCATGCCCCAGGGGTGCTGCACACGGCGGCGGCAGCAGCATGAGGTGCGCATGGCGCAGCCTCCAGAGTCCCTTTGCCCTCTTTCCCGCCACAGCCCAGGAGCCGCTCACCACCCCCGTGCCGGCACGGGCCACCCGCCTGTGGGGGCACGCCGGGACCCTCCGGGCAGCTGATGCGGGAGGAGGATGTGCGGCACCTGGAGAGGCAGCTAGGGAGCCTGCGGGTAACGCACGAGGT